CTAGTAGCTGTAGTTGCCCCTGTGCATCCACAAAGCTTCTTCCTGGGGCAACTCATAACCAGTGACCACTTGAAATTTCATTCACTAACATTACTTGAAGGGCTGGAACTGGGACTCTGTGTTTGCTGACCCATTAGCCCAGGCAATCCCTTCCCTGCACCAGTCAGCTCTGGCTGACAGACTGCGCTCTGCCCTCCTAACCACTGAGAAGTGGCTTGTTCACACAGCACGACTCAGGAACCCTCTCCTGCAGCCCAGACTTGTGAGTAAGCTGCTAGCTTTGTACTTGTGCTAAACTCCAGCACCCTGGCTCTGATGAACACTGGACACCTTGCAAATACTTCAAGTCACTACGTGCCTCTCGCCTTCAGCCACAGCCATGCCACCCGTTCTCCTGTGCCTACCCTGACCCGCGCAGAGAGCCTCACTGCTCTCCATGTCAGTGCACAAGCAGGGAGGGTGCAGCACCAACAGCCTCCAGGGACAGAGCAGCCCAGCAGGTCACTGTATTGAAGTGGAAGAGGGGCACGTGAATGAATATGCAGTACCCTCTGCTCTGCTTCCCTCTGGGACTTCACGGAGTGGCTGACACAGCCATCATAGGCGACCTGCTATCAAACAGAGCCTACTCTACTCAATAATGAGATTAAAATAGCAATGAGTCTGAGATTAGCATCCGAGATATAGTCGCTTGCTGTCAGCGTAGGAGAGAAGACTCTGCAGTTTAATGCACGATGCCTAGTGACAAATGAGACACAATCAATAGCAAAGGTCATTGCTCACCCGGCTGGAAAGCACCCGCCAGTGTGACAGGGAAAAAGGGGGGCAGATTTGGCTTGGTCTTCACTGGGATGTGTCCCGACTGGCAGAACAGTTAGGCTGTGCTTTCAACATTTTTCCATGCATGTCATTCTCACTTTGAAGCAAAATGTGTAGGATTAGTGCCTCCTTCTGCAAGGGAGAGGAGATGGGAATACAAAACCATTTCCATTAACACATCTGGCTGACGGAAGACTTCAGGTGTGAATTGGATAAATGTCACTTAAATCCTACATGATGAATTACTGGCTGTAATAAGCCATTAACGGATGCCAAATTGATTTAATTCAGACACAAGATCTCACTTTTATCAATAGAGGAAGAGCAGAGAATAACCCGTGGGTACTCAGTACTCAGGGGCTCGGTGCGTGGCAGCGCACAGCTCTGCAAACACAATGACTCGGTGGGGAAAGCTTCCTTCACCCCTCAGCCACTTTCCACAGCAGCTCTGGCTCCGAGCCGGGATGTACCCCTGGGGTGCGCATGGGGCTCAGCACCTGCGAGGGGGCAGACGCCTCTGTTCGAGGCAACTTTGCTTCCAGGGAAGGGGAGAGCCGTCTCCGGAGGGAGCTGGCAGCAGCCTCCGAAGTAGCAGGGACTTGCGGTAGGGCGGTGGGGCGCAAGCCCCAAAGCCCACGCTGCACACCCCTGCAAGGTGCACGGCGCTGCACATCGCGCCGAGCGTGAGCCGGGTGGTAGAACCGCGGTGGAGCGGGAGAGCCTGGAGCCTGCTCCGCGGCACGGGTGACAATAGGGCTGGCAGAAGGCACCGGCACCGGCGCTGTCCAAGCTCGGTGCTCGGCTCCCAGCCCTGAACGGGGCCGCCGG